TTCCAGCAAGCAACCTTGAGAGATGAGGTAATGTCTTCTCTGGACCATGAGGAGACTCGCCCCCCACTCGCTGTCAGGCTCAGCATTCCTTCCCTGCAATAACGGAACACCGAGTGCACTGCGGCCGGCTGGGCCCGCATCACGTGACCTCCACACTCACGGCACTAACAATACCTGAAATCCTGAACCTAACCATCTCCGGAGAAAAGAAATAACTAAGTTCCAGTTCCCTCTGCCGGAGGGGTCCCGTTCACACCACATCTGATACCCGCAGGCAGGAGAAAGGGGTCTCCCCAGCACCCAGCTGCCTATGATGGCTTTAGTGACCAGAGCGGGGCCCCCCCCAAAGGGCAGGGAGCCCCTCAAAGGGTGGAGACTGGGATGGGAGGGGGTCAAGGGCACTAAGTAAAGAATCAGAAAGAGAGTGCAAGGTAATAAAGGGTTTGTAAGATGCTCGACGGGGTGAATGGGCTGAGGTGGCGGCCTGGGGCCTCCTATCAGCAGAGCCTGTCCCCTGGATCAGCCTCCCATCTGATGTCCTTTCTAGTTCTGACCTGGTTCCTCATCATTTTCCTTCCACTGTTACCACCTGCTGATTTCCAGCAGGGGCCTGCCCCACCTTGGCCCAGTGAGGAGGACACAGAATACAAGTCACCACATCTTTTTTCCTGGTCTTTTATCCCAAACAAAATGACTGCAAAAATATAACTCCATGGCCCTAAAACCAGAGCCATAACATTTCATGAACTTCACGGAACTATGGTGGGCGGGGGGGAGCAGTCATGGCCACGCGGATACAAACAGGCTGCTTGCTCTCAGCCCTTGGTTCAACAACACTCGATTGCCCTTTAGAGAAAGAGAAGCACGCTCTCCCAGGAAGGCAACTTGGTAGTTGCAAGACTGCCATTAACTAAGGAACTGCGTCAGAGAATTTCTACACTGAAACTAGAGACCATGTTCATTTTTTCCATCACGATCAGAGCCAAAAACCAACCATATTTCTTGAAAACTTAGGTGAAGTTTCCAGGAGTTAAACCGAACAGATTTACCAGCAAAAGGCAGGAAGAACGAGATTATAATTTGAACCAGGCAGACTGTTTCATACCAGAAAACGTGGCACTCAATGCAGTTTGCAGAATACCATACGCAGAAAGAGCTACTCAGCGGGCCTCTAGAGAGTGAGACTAGCCAAACAAAAGAACAAAAAAGGTGGGGAAAAAAGAAGCCATGTCAGCCTTACAAAGCCAGAAGAGACTGACACGCTTTCTTTTGCTAAATTAGTTTTTTCACCACACTTCTGGGTTAAAAGTACAAAAAGTACATAATGAAAAAGTTTTCTTTTTGGCCATTTTGAATCAGAAATTTATACTACTTCCAATTTATCGTAACTTAATGGGACCTGAGTCTAACAAATACACGCACTATGAAGGCCAACAGAGTTACTAACGCAGGAGACCATACCAGCAGATCAAAGTTTCCTGCAGCTCCTTCTGGAACAAATTTACTCTGGGCTCCTGAGCGGCTTGGCCAGCTGATAGGACAGACTGATGTTTCTTTACTTGAAATAAACATTAAGTCAAAACCTCTACCAGAAAACTCATTCTGAAAAGGCCTGGCTCACTTCCTGATACGCGGGCCAAGGAAAAATAAGCACAAAACCACCACTCAGGTTGACTAGAAAATTTATTCTAATCGCCTTGAGGTCTCTAGCACTAGACACACAGTACTTGAAATCTTTCTCCTATAATGCTGTCAACTCTAAATTCTGAAAAGTAGTGAGAACGCTAGCCAATAAAGAGTGCTTAAAAAAAAAAATCATACCTATGGCTTCTATACTTCTGCATCTCTGTTAATGTTGACAGAGGCTTCATCAGTAAATTATTCGCCAAATGTATAGAACACTCTCAAGGGTGTAAGAGCAGAACAAACATGGTCTTTTGCACCAAAGAAGCTATAGTGAATGTCCACTGGTCAGTAAGTAATTAACTGAAATGTCCAGAGATTACAAAACAGGCCAGCTGAACACAATGATGAGTGCCAACATTAAGATGCTCATTATACAGGGGCGCCTGCGGGGCTCAGTTGGTTAAGCGTCCTACTTGGGCTCAGGTCATGATCTTGCAGTTCACAAGTTCAAGCCCCACGTGGGGCTCTGTGCTGACAGCTCAGAGCCTGGAGCCTGCTTCGGATTCTGTGTCTCCCTCTCTCTGCCCCTCCCCTGCTCGCTCTCTCTCTCTCTCTCTCTCTCAAAAATCAACATTAAAAAATAGTTTTTAAAAAAGATGATTATTCAGATATTAGCTAAAAGAAAAAAATTTAAAGGCCTCCTCCCATTTTTAAATACAACGACTGGATCAAAGAATTTTAGGACTGGAAGGACCCTTTCTATAATGTACCTGCACCTGTTCTAGTGGGGTCCTCTGGAATAACCCAGAACAATCACCCTGTTTTCCACACATCAACCGTCACATCCTAGAATCGCCTCCCAGATCCATGTTCAGTGTCCTCTTCTTCAGTTTACTGAGTCATTCCAAACCTCAAGCCCTTTGTCTCCCCAGGACACCGTTTCCAGACGGCCTCCGCTTCCTAGCCACACTCCTCGGCACCGTCCCACGATACGACGGCCACACTCCTCGGCACCGTCCCACGATCAGACGGCCACACTCCTCGGCACCGTCCCACGATCAGACGGCCACACTCGGCACTGTCCCATGATCAGACGGCCACACTCCTCTGCACTGTCCCACGATCAGACAGCCTAGGTCTATGAATATAGACTAACATTCTGTTAATATTTTAACTGTTACATACTGTTAATCTATATTTTTTAAAGTTCCAATTAGTCTTTACCTTTTTTCATGTATAAGATATTTCATAATAAATACTTTTTAGGTGCACTTGGGTGGCTCAGTAGGTTAAGCATCCAACTTTGGCTCAGATCATGATCTCACAGTTTGCAAGTTCAAGCCCTGCATCAGGCTCTGCGCTGAGAGCCTGGAGCCTGTTTCGGATTCTGTGTCACCCTCTCTCTCTGCCGCTTCCCAACTCACGTGCAAACGCACACGCTCTCACTCTCTCTCTCAAAAATAAACATTTAAAAACTTAAAAATAAATAAATAAATACTTTAAGTGTCCTGACATGATATAAAGACAACTTGGGATATCTTCTATTGCTAGTTATGTTTCACAGAAGAAACGGTCAATTTATAATTTAAAGAGGATTAAAAGGAAAACTTAAAGAATCATTTTAGAAATCCTCTTTCATCATTCTTAACCTTCTCAGTCTCCTATGAAAAGCACACCCTTTCTTTTATTGGTTGTACAACTTTTTTTCTTTTTGAGGGAGAGACAGAGAGAGTGCACGCAACTATGCGTGTGCAAACAGCGGAGGGGCAGAGGAAGGGAGAGAGAGAATCTCAAGCAGGCTCCACACTCAGCACAGAGCCCACTGGGAACTCAATTCCACGACCCTGGGATCGTGACCTGACCTGAAATCAACAATCAGATGCTCACCCAACTAAGCCACCCACATGCCCCGTACAACTTTTTAATTGACAATATCACGAAACAGTTTTAGACATCTGCTGTTTACTTACTGTAGAAATTTTCCCACACACCAAAAGGAGAGAAAGATTACACACCCAACTTTGATGCTGATCAACATTTTGCCCATCTTGTTTCCTCCATCTTGGGGTCCTCGCCCCACCCCCAGAGTATTCTAAGCAAATCTCAGCATCTCATTTCATCTTCAACTGAAACACCTATTGTGTGTTAGTGCCTATTATGCCACAAGCACTGTGCTTAACCTTTTCTAGTCCTCAAAACAAACGGACATTAATAGTCAAGGCTAATCCTGTACTATCCACGTCTATTCTCATCCAACGCTAATCTTCCTCCATGTCTGGGTGCACAATTTTCACAACCTATCCACACTACGGGAATCATTGTAGATCTTCAATGTTTTATTTCACCCGATAACATTCCTTTGTTATGGGTCTTAACAATATTGCCGACTGAGATCACAACGTTGTGTTTTATGCAACAGAGGCTCAATGTCACTACGGGGCTACGATGTGCTAAGTTAATAAACTAGAGTAGACAGATCAGACGGTATTTCGATAACCTTAATAACTCACAGGTTTTAGGATTTTAAAAGTACTTTGCAATACCTAAAGAAAAGGTAGTGTAGCAATACTAACAATCAGTAATATCTTTTATTTTAAAGAAAACGCACGTGAGTTTGGCTTCCCTGTAACAACTTGAGAGAATCTACTCTTAGAATGATTATTTGATTTTAACTTTCATTAAACTTTAGGCCCATGATATTCAATGACTTCTTAGTGCATAACATGAGGTATTTTTGTATCACTTTTAAAAAAAGCAGAGTTAGCTGGCAAATGCTATTAACTGGCTTTAGGGAGGACAGATCTTAGGAAACTCTCTGTGATTTATAAATTACAAAATAAAACCCCACAACAGGCTAGAAAAATCTGAAGATTTGGAAAGACAGGAAAACACCAACGAATCTCTAAGACAGAACTCCTAAGGGTAGCAAGCCACCATTACCCAGTGGTGAAAGCCCTTCACAAGTCAGGAGAGAAACAGAAACCCAGATGAGAAAACAGCCTACAGGTGCTTACCTGGGAATTGCCAAAGACATTTCCATCAGGAGACGTGAATGAATCCTGTAAGATACTAGTGTCTGACTGGGCTGGGGAAGGGCTTGAAGAATGCGAGGAGAGGGCCGAAAGGAGTTCAACAGCAAAGTATACACTCGTCACTTTTTATCAAACAACATCAGTCTCTTTAAAACCTTTTCACTTAGATTCTAACATAATAATCTGTCACCAAATAACGGATGTGCAATCCCATCACATTCTTGTATTTGAGGCAGTATAAAATACTTTAGAAAACAGAAACAAGGCAAGGAAAACAAGGTGTGTTTTAGTTTTGTCACCGTTGAAATGAGGCAGGATAACGCACTGGGTTTCAACACTTACGTCGGAGCCCACGCTTCTCACGGTGCTCTGGAGGACAGGTTTAGTCACAGAAAGCTTCCCATTCACCGGGCTGTTGGCCACAGGGGCCGGCACCACATTCACCATCTGATTAGGTAGTGGCGTGGCTCCCCCGGCGACAGCAAGGACCGGGGCGGGAGAGGGCAGGACTCCGGGTGCCTGAAGCTGGACCACGGTGGGCGGAGAGAGCACTACCGTCGGACCTGCGTGAGGAAGGAAGGAAAGGGGTCACAGCGCGCACGACCACTAGGGCGGAGGACGCAGACACTTAGGTCTCTTCTGTGGCTACAACAGGAACATGACGCTGAGGGGACTTAAAACCACCAATGCAGGAGCGCTTGGGGGGCTCAGCTGGCTAGTGTCTGGCTCTTGATTTTGGCTGGGGTCACAATCCCCCAGCTTCGTGGGTTCGAGCCCCACAAAGGGCTCTGCGCCAACAGCACAGAGCCTGCTTGGGATTCTCCCTTTCTCCCTCTCTCTGCCCCTCCCCTGCTCACGCGCTCGCTCTCTCTCAAAATAAACTAACTTAGAAAAAACACACAAAAAAAACCCCACCAATTAAAACATAATCAATAGCATCACACACATGCACGCGCGCACACACACACACACACAGTGACTTCTGTTGTGTTTTTAATGAAAACAACTAAATTTGTTCCCTTTGAAGTTACCGTTAATGATATATTTCCATACTTTTTCTCTACTGTATGTCTGTCAAACTTGCTAAGTTATACACAGATTTTTCTATGAACTTCTGAAATTTATTAGTACTAAAAAGCATTTTTCATATTATACATAACAAACCTTTTATACTGAACACAGAGTCACATTTTTTTAAATTTTTAATGTTTATTTATTTTTAAGAAAAGACAGAGACAGAGAGTGAGTAGGTAGAGAGAGAGGGAGACACAGAATCCCAGGCTCTGAGCTGTCAGCACAGAGTCTGACACAGGGCTCGAACTCGTGAACTGTGAGATCATGACCTGAGCCAAAGTCAGACACTCAACTGACTGAGCCACCCAGTCACCCCAAGAGAGCCACGTATTTTAAATTAATGGGATTTAGAAAGACAACACCAAAAATATATAAATGGAGATTCAGTAACTCAATACTTGGAAAGACAGGGGCTACAAATACCAAAAATGTTAAAACTTGCAGCAATATTTACCACAGCCAAGATACGGCGCAACCCAAGTGTGCATCAACAGATGAATGGATGAAGATGTGGTAAATACAGGCAACGAAATATTATTTGGCCGTAAAAAAGAACAAGATCTTGCTGTTTGCAATAACCTGGATGGATCCAGATAATATAAGGCTAAGTGAAGTCTGTTAGAGAAAGACAAATAGCGTATGATTTCACTCCTACGTGGAATTTAAGAAACAAAAGAGAAACAGAGAAAAGAGACAAACAGCAACAAAAACCAGGCCCTTGAATACAGAGAATGGGTGGTTGCCAGGCGGGAGGGAGGTGGGGAAGGGGTGAAGTAAAGGCGATGAAGAGCACACTTCCTGTGATGAGCTCCGAGTAATGTACCAATTTGTTCAGTTGTTACACCGTACACCCAAAACTAGTAAGACTGTGCGTTAATTACACTTCAATTAAAAATATATTTTTTATAAAGTTCTTCACAATATCCTTGTTTAAAACAACGTTAAAACCATTTGAGATGAATTACAGCTAACAGGCACAGGAAACATAAATCTGTAATTTAAAACAGCCTGTAGATAACACCAACTCTCCCTACATACACAAAATGGTCTATAAATCTTTTCTCAGTCCTCACCATTTAACATTACTTTTTAAACTCTGTTAATTGGAGAATCGTATCATTAACCTGAAGATGACTCCTCTAACTCTTAACTGTGGTCTATTAAAAATCTTACTTGCCTGCTGAATGTTCCCTTTCAGATCTGGCCAATTTTATCAGCTGCTCAAAGCCTCTCCCAATATCCACAGCTGCTTGAGGAAAACATCTAACAAAATAAAGGTACTATAGTAACCAGCAACTAAAATTACATAAATATTTATAATTCTTCTTTAAGGGAAAAAAAGCATTATACTCGCAGATAGTGTGACATGACCCATGTAAAACTCAGCTCAGTGTTTCAAAGGATCAAGGAAAACTAAAAATCTAAATAATACTTCAGAACACCTGTTAAGAACACCTGTCTTGGCATTAAAAAAAAAATCACTTCTATTAAATCAAAGTCTTTGTCTCAGATGGCCTCAAAAAGCATACTAAAGGTAGAATTCAGTTAATAGCATTACATCCCAGATAAACTAGTAAATTAGGCACGAAAGATCTAAAAGTAATTTCACAGACTTGTAATATGTACAATTTACTTGGACAAAAAAAAAATCACTAGGCATTTTTACCTTCTTTTCCCTTGGACTTCTTTTATGAAATAAAAACATATAAAATAAGGAAATTACTCATAAGCAGATATAAATATGCTTAGACCAAACAGGCAAATAAAAATAAAGTAAATAACACATGACCAAATGTCAAGTTTTTTGGTAACACGTTAAGAAACTGCAAGACTCATCATTAACTGATTATTACGTAAACTTAAACCAAGGGTTCTCACTGAATATGTCTTCTTCTTTACTATCAAAAAGTATGGGGGCACCTGGGTGGGTGAGTCAGTTAAGCATCGAATTTCGGCTTAGGTCACGATCTCACGGTTCGTGGGTTCAAGCCCCACATCGGGCTCTGTGCTGACAGCCAGCTCAGAGCCTAGAGCCTGTTTCAGATTCTGTGTCTCCTTCTCTCTCTGACCCTCCCCTGTTCTCTCTCTCTCTCTCTCTCTCTCAGAAATAAATAAAACATTTAAAAAAATTAAAAAAAAAAAGTATGGGGTGCCTGAGTTGGCTGGCTCAATTGGCTAAGCATCCGACTTCGGCTCAGGTCATGATCTCACGGTCCGTGAGTTAGAGCCCTGCATTGGGGCTCTGTGCTGACAGCTCAGAGCCTGGGACCTGCTTCAGATTCTGTGTCTCCCTCTCTCTCTGACCCTCCCTCACTCAGGTTCTGTCTCTCTCAAAAATAAATAAACAATAAAAAAAAACAAAAACCCTCGGTGACTTGCTAAACACTGACCTGCTAGGTGCTCACAGATCATAAAACGTAAAGCAAAGGACTGCTGGGGCCTTAGTGAGCCACTGAACATAGTGACGACTGTTCCTAGCATGACATCAGCCCAGAAGGACACACCAAAAAGCTATTTACCCATTTGAGCGTGTGCAAAATCCTCTTAGACGTCACAAGCAAATCCCCCTTCACAGAACACGGCAAGATTCAATGCTAAATGCTTCTGACTATGTATGTATGACTCACCAACGGTAATAGTTCTTTCTCGTCAATCTTCTCCAAAGACTTCAAACTATGTATCAAGCACTTCTGAATGCCTACTTTGTCTAAAATAGGACAGCTATGTGATTTGGAATAATTTCTCTGAGTCTTAATTTTCTCCTCTGTAAGACGACGACAACAGTACCCATCCTCACGGAGCTGATACAAGGATTAAACAAGGGAATGCGCGTCAACACTTACCACCGCGTCTGCCACACAGTAAGAGCCTCGATGTTGGCTGTTATTTATTATTATTATTAATTTCCATTTCTGTAGAATAACAGCTTCCTTTAAATGTACTGCATGTATCAATTCGTTAGTTCTCACAGTGACTGTTATTTAACTGCTTACATAAACGTGTTAACTGAGATCAAGGAGCACATCTCTGCATTCTTTCAGTGGCAATAAAGTAGCATCGTGACTAATCACAGACTGTGAGCCAGACCCCCCGGGCTCCGGTTCTGACTCTACCTCTCACAAGCAGAACGGCCTGGGGCAAGTTATGTTACCTCTATCCTCAGTTTCAGTGACCTGCACTACCATCTCCCCAAAAAGCCCAAGACAGGATACAACCCTCTCTGTCCTTCGTTCCCTCCCAAACCACCCAACCACCAAGCCCGTGAGTCTGCACTTCTCCGCACCCACACTCTCTATCCCGGATCTGTGTTCTCACGGACACAACAGGCTTTCACCACCTCTCACCTGCACGCCTAGCAGTCTTAACGCACTTAGGGGCAGAAGCTATTTCAAGCAGACAGAATGGTCTGAGCCAAGAAACTAGAGAAAACATGAGAATTCGAGGGACAGCGGCCAGATTCGTCGGGTCGGAAGAGGAAGTTGGGTTTATAAAAGGGAGTGATTATAATGTAAAGTTAGAAAATGAAACTGGAGCCAAACCATGGTACGCTTAACTTCCAAGTTAGAGAATCTGAACTTAATCCTATAAGAATTACTTCTTTTTTAACCGTAAGATATTTACAACTGATATGTATGTTGATTAACTGCAAAATGCCTCTCCTGTATCTTCCCTCCACCTATTTCAAATAAATGGAAGACATACATTTAAATCTGTATGTTTGAATAATACCAACTCTCTAGATTATACTATAAAAACAGACAAGCCCCTGTTATTAGTACCTGCTCCCCAAACATAAGTCCTCTCTTCAGATGACGGGAAGGCACTGACATTCTGACTAACGGACATTTCAGGTTTCTGCACCTGAGAAACGGCTCAGAAAAGAATAGTTTGTCTTCTATCACTCGAACATGATCTGCTAAGAGCAAATTCTTACGAATACCCCTTGCCTGCACACCAGTCATACTAATGTCAAATTTTGCTTTATATACTTGTGTTTTAATACATCACAGGAACAATAATGAGGTTCTTCCTAAGTTTAAACTCTTAGTCTTCGGGAAGGTACAGACCCTTCTGAAATGCTGATAAAAGCTTTGGAGACTACCCCTGAAAAATCCACATATACAATAAGTCTTACATTTTATCTCGGGGAGTACATGACCACCCAGCACCCGCTCGCAGGCCCCAAGCACACATGGCCATCCTGTAGGACAACCGCTTTCCACAGGAGAAAGGCAACAGCTCTGACCCTGTACCGAAAAGGCAGGTAACTCAGGTTTGTCTGATGGGGCCTGGGGTACAGACTGACGGATTTTCACGGACTTGTCCAGTCTCCCACCAGGCTCTTCTCTTTATCAATATATTGTTCATGACCTTGGAACAGAACAAAACTAACAGAATAACTAGAAATCAAATTTAGGACCTTGCTCTCATTAAAACTTGCTCCTCTTGCTCCAAAGAAATGAATGCGCAATGCAGAGCTGGAAACACAGCCATAAAAACCAATGTAACATTGGTGGTTTGTTTATAATCCATGCCCCTTAAGACCTAGTCCTAAATTCAGGGAAAGAACGTTAAACAAGTTTTCCTTTACTCTTGTGTACACGTATCAGTATGGAGAGTGAGACAGGCCCTGCGCCCACGACATCTCCATGTGCAAAGGGTTCCTGTATCCGCACAGTACCAAATCCTCAAACATGAACTTGTCTCACTCTTTCTTGCAATGCTAGAATTCCTGGAGAATCAAGCATGCGAGGCCATCTGGTGGATAAAATATAGAAACACACACTCTCAACTACATGAAGACAGGCATTCTGATTTCTTCCTAATGCCCCTACTCACGAACACGTTTACTAAACCAAACTGCCTCTGCAGAGACTGAGAGCCTTATCCTTTTGCCGAAACTCACTTATTAGACCTGTAATGTTATTTTACGTACTGACCTGTCCTTAAAAACAAGAGTTCAGGGGCACCTGGGCGGCTCAGTCAGTTAGCATCTAACTTCACGATCTCACAGTCTGTGAGTTCGAGCCCCACATCGGGGTCTCTGCTGCCAGTGCAGAGCCCGCACTGGATCCTATGCCCCCCTTTCCCTCTGTCCCTCCCCCGCTCATGTGCACTTTCTCTCTCTCAAAAATAAATATTAAAAAGTTAAAAAAAAAAAACCCCCACAAGTTCATAGACAGAAAATTCTCAAGATGAAATGGTACTGAGAAAGTTTCCCAGATTTTCTTCTTCATTACAAGCGGCTATATAAAACCATAAGCCTGACAGACAGGTATTTTCCTAATTAAAACTATAGGAAAAAAGGCGTATGACATATAACTAATCTGGACAGCTATCTCCCTTGTCAGGACAGGACACACGTACTAGTCATCTCTGCGACACCCTCAGCACCAAGGACAATTCCTGGCACAGAGCGTACGCTCAGAAATTACGACCTGAAATAATAACATTAAAACAAATGACAGCTTCGCGCCCATCAATGAACACACGCGGCCTCACATTGCACTTGAGCACCTTTAGAGGGCGCAGGGTGTATGCTGATAATCGGCTGCTGCTTTGCCAACGGCAGAAGCGTTGGCAGCGTCTGGATGATGATGGTTTTCGCTGGAACGCTGGAGTTGGTCTGGGCCTTGGGCACTGCTGGAAGTATTAAAGGCTTGGGCTGAATTGAAGGTTTTGAAGTCATCTGAACTTTTTTCTTTGGAGTGAGTCCATTTTCTGGAGAAAATCCAAGCAAATCACAAATCAATCTGAAAGCAACGAAAATTCCCAGAACACAGCTTCTATTACACACCTTTTTCTACACATTATCTTGACTTCTGAGTAATTATGCTCACCTGGAGTTGAAGCATAGCTACTCTACACCTTGATGGACTCAAGAAAGGTCCTTAATGTGAGGCTTCTCCCTTTTCTTTTCAGGTACAATTGATACACAACATTATATTAATTTCAGGTGTATAATATGATTCAATATTTGTATCACATAAGGGTCACCACAGTAAGTCGAGTTAACGGGTTACCATAAACAGTTATAATTTTTCTTATAATGATACTTTTTAAGATGCAACCTCTTAGCAATTTTCTAATATACAACATGCTATTATTAACTACAGTCAGAGTGCTGCACGTGACATCCCCATGACTTATTTATAAGTGGACTGAGATCTTCCTTTCTGACCAGGCTGCAGCTCTGGGAAGGGGATATATGAACTGGCAAAGGAGAATAGCTAAATTCACTGAATAAAGCCTAAAGATTAACAGGTATTAAATGTCACAGCCAAACAGCCCTCACTGTCAATATCTTTAACTGAATCTTTGCATTCTCTCTTGAAGATGATGAGGCCTACTTCTATTTTAAAGCATTTTTCACAAATTGGACAACTTAGAAGAAATGAACATATTCCTAAACACACACTCACTACACATACGGGAAGAGATACAAAATCTGAACAGACCCATAACTAGTGAGGAAATCGAATCAGTTATCAAAAATCTCCCAACAAATAAGAGCCCTGGGCCAGATGGCTTCCCTAGGGAATTCTACCAGACATTTAAACCAGAATTAATGCCCATTCTTCTCAAGCTATCCCAAAAAACGGAAATCGAAGGAAAACTTCCAGACTCGTTTTACGAAGCCAGCACCACTCTGATTCCCAAGCCAGACTGAGACCCAGCAAAAAAAG